TGGAAATGACAGGAAAACAGGAGTTACAATAGTCTTATCAGACATATAGACGTTAAAACAAAAGCCATAAAGGAAAAGAAGGAAAATATATAATGGTAAAAGGATCAATGCAAGAAGAGGATTTTACATTTGTCAACATATATTGCCCCAAACACACAAAACACTAACAAACAAAAAAGGAGAAACTGATGAGAATACAACAGGAGACTCTATCACCCCATTCACATCAATGGGCCGACCTTCTAGACAGAAAAATCACTAAGGCAACAGAGATCCTAAATGATGTAACAGTTAAGACTTAACTGGTATTTTCAGGACATTATTTCCAAAAAACCCAGAATACACATTCAAGTGCACATGGAACCATTCTCTAGGACTGACCACATACTAGGACACAAAACTAACCTCAGCAACCGTAAGAGTAAAGAAATTATTTCAAGCATTTTTCCTGAAAACAGCATACAGCTAGAAATCAACCAAAAGAAAAGAAATCCATATGTTACTAAAAAAAAAAAAAAGAAAGAAAACCAAAAAAACAAACCCAACAGGTCAATGAGAAAAACAAAAAAAGGAATTTACACACCTCCCTCAAAAAACAAGAAAAAAAATCTCAAATTAACAACCTAACATACAACCTAAAAGAATCAGAAAATACAAAACCCAAAACCTCAAGTCAGTAGGAGGGAAATAACAAAGATCAGGAAGGAAATAAATTGAGATTAAAAAAAATAGAAAAAAAAACCAACCCAACATCAGGCTTCCCTCATGGCTCAGAGGTAAAGAATCCAACCCCCACCGCCGGAGACACAGCATGGGGCGGGCCCCCGGTTTGGGAGCATCCTACATGCCGCGGAGCAACTGACCCCGCGTGCCGCAACTGTGCCCTGGAGTCCAGGAGCCGCAACTACTGAAGGCCTGAGAGCCTGAGAGCCGCGCTCCGAAACAGGGGGAGCCATTCCAGTGAGAAGCCTGCGCACTGCCACCAGAGTAACCCCCACTGCCAGAGCCAGAGCGAGTCCATGCAGGAACAAAGACCCGGCACAGCCAAAAAAAAAATCAGTGAAATCAAGAACTGGGTCTTTGAAAGGGTAAACAAAATCAACAAACCTCTGGCCAGTCTCACCAAGAACAACAAAGACAGAATCCAAATAAATTAGGAAATGAAAAAGGAGAGATTTCAACTGATACTGCAAAAATAAAAAAAAAGCCTTAAGAGAATACTATGAACAATTATAAGCCAACAAATTTGACAACTTAGAAGAAATGGACATAGATATAGCCCACCAAAACTGAATTAAGGAGAAAAGATAAACTGAACTGACTGATCACCAGAAGTGAAATAGAATCTGTAATTTAAAAAAAAAACAAAAAACAAAAACTCCCTACAAACAAAAATCCAGGACCAGGTGGCTTTACAGGAAATTATTCCAAACATACAAAGAACTTCTTACACTCATCGTTCTTAAACGCTTCTAAGACTGGAGAGGGGAGAACACTTCCTAAGACATTTTAGTAATATCAAAGTGTGTTAGTCACTCAGTCATGTCTGACTCTGTGACACCATGGTCTGTCCATGGAATTCTCCAGGCAAGAATACTGGAGTGGATTGCCATGAAGCCACCATTAATCACCTGATAACAAAACTAAACAAATACCACCAAAACAGAAAATCACAGGCAAATACCTTCAATGAATATAGATACAAAAATTCTCAACAAAATATTAGCAAACTGAATCAAACAACATATAAAAAAGATCGTGTACCAAAACCAAAAGGGATTTATCACAAATTCACAAGGATGCTTCAACATACGCAAAATCAATCAATCAATGCTCAGTCATATCCAACTCTTTGCAACCCCATGGACTGCAGCCTGCTAGGCTCCTCTGTCCATGGGAATTCGGGAAGCAAGAATACTGGAGTGGGTTTGTCATACCCTTCTCCAAGGGATCTTTTCAACCCAGGAATCGAACTTGAGTCTCTTACATCTCTCGAATTAGCAGGTGGGTTCTTTACCACTAGTGCCACCTGGGAATTCCTGGTGTAATGCACCATGTAAATGAAAGTCAAAAACCATATGATTGTCTCAACAGATACAGAAAAAGCACCTGACAAAATTCAAACCATTCATAATAAAAACACAGTAAAAGCCACTTATGACAAACCTAAAGCCAATATAATATTCAACAGTGAAAAGCTGAAAGTCTTCCCACTAAATCTGGACTAAGAAAACAAGGAGGCCCACCCTTACTACTTCTATTCAATGTAGTGATGGAAGTCCTAGTCATGGCAAACAGACAAGAAATAAAAGGTATTTAAACTGGAAAGGAAGAGATAAAATTGTCATCATATGCAGATGACATGAAAATGCATAGAAAACCTTAAGGACTGCAGGAAAAAAAACTACTAGATCTATAAATGAATTCAGCAAAGTAGCAGAATATAAGATTAACATCTGGAAATCAGTTTTACACTAATGGTGAAAGAGAGAAAAGGGGATGTTAAAATTAAAGAGGATTCAAAGAAATGAAAAGATATCCCATGCTCTTGAATTGAAAGAATATTGTTTAAATGGCAATACCACCCAAAGTAAACTACAAATTTAATGAGTTCCCTATCTAATTACCCATGACATTTTCACAGAATTAGAATAAGTAATCCAAAAATCTATATGAAAAAAAAAAAAAAAGCCCAGAACTGCCAAAGAAATCCTGAGGAAACAGAAATAAAACAGGAGGCATAACTCTCTCAGACTTCAGACAATACTAGGAAGCTACAGTAATCAAAACAATATGGTAACTGGTACAAAAACAAGACTATGGATCAATGGAACAGAGTAGAGAACCCAGAAACAAACCCACACACTTATAGTCAATTAATCTTTGACAAAGGAGGCAAGAATATACAAGAAAAAGACAGTCTCTTCAGTAAGCAGTGCTGGGAAATTTGGACAGCTGCATGTAAGTCAATGAAGTTAGAATATACCCTCACACCCTACACAAAAATAAACTCATTAAAGACTTCAAACATAAGACATGATACCATTAAACTATAAGAGAGCAAAGGCAAAATATAACCTAATGTAAATCGTACCAATATTTTCTTAGGTCAGTCTCCCAAGGCAACGGAAATATTGATTAAAAAGAAGAACAAGTGGTACTTAATCAAACTTAGAAGCTTTGCATAGCAAATGAACAATTTAAAAAAAAAGACAACCTACAGACTGGAAGAAAATATTTGCAAATGATGCAACTGACAAGGGTTTAATTTCCAAAATATACAAATAGCTCATACAACTCAACAACAAAAACCCAAAACCACATAACCCAATTGAAAAATGGGCTGAAGACCTTAACAGACATTTCTCCAAAGACATGAAATAGCCAGTAGGCACATGAAAAGATGCTCAACATCACTAATTATTAGAGAAATATAAATCAAAACTACAATGAGGTACCACCTCACACTAGTCAGAATAGCCATCATCAAAAACCCTACAAATAACAAAAGCTGGAGAGGCTGTGGAGAAAAGAGAACTCTCCTGTTCCGTTAGTGGGAATGTAAATTGGTGTGGCCACTATGGACAACAGTATGGAGATTCCTTAGAAAACTAAAATTATTGTATAATCCAGCAATCCCAGTCCAGGGCATATATACCTGGACAAAGCTATAATTCAAAAAGATATATGGACTCCAACATAGCATATTCACAGTGTAGCAGCACTACTTGTAATAGCTGAGACATTGCAACAATCTAAATGTCCGTGGACAGATGAATGAATAAAGATGTGGTACATATATACAATGGAATGCTACTCAGCCATAAAAAGAATGAACTAATGCCATTTTTGCAGCAACATGGATACAACTAGAAATTATCATACTAAGTGAAGTCAGAAAAATAAATACATATGATAACATTTATATGTGGAATCTAAAATGGCATAAATGAACCTATCTACAAAACAGACACAGAGAACAGACTTGTGATTACCAAGGGGGAGGAGGGGACAGAGAGGGATGGACTGGGAGTCTGTAGCAGATGCAAACATTACATACGGAATGGCTAACAACCAGGTCCTACTGTACAGAAGAGGGAACTATATCCAATTTCCTGGGATAAACCACAGCGGAAAAGAATCTAAAAAAGGAATATACATACGTGTGTAACTGAGTCACTCTATTGTATAACAGAAATTAGCACAAAATTGTAAATCAATTATACTTCAGTAAAAAAAAAAAAAAAAGTTACTAGTTTTTTTTCCTTCTTTAGTTATACCCCCAATCCTACCAAAGAGGATAAGCAGGAATGAAGCACTGTGTAAAAGACACTTACAAAGCATATTAGAGACAGATTGGCTTAAGAAGGAAAGCGAACAAGACTTCAAGTGTTAAGAGTTTCTGCTACTATATCTATCTGTTAGAATATCAAGGGTTACAAAGCCCTTTTTGTTTCCTTATTAAGATATAGATAACTAATTTCTCAAAATAATTAAAAATCTGTACACTCTAGGCAAACTATGGACATTACAAAGGTGTCTGTATTAAACTCTGATACTGATAGTTACAAAGAACAAAAACATTTGAAAAGGCAGCATTTAAACTTGAGTATACACAAGAAGCACACATGATTTTTAAGTTCATAAGAAATGAAAGGTCTATAAGAAGAGTGTTTTTGTATTAACCAGACTTACAGAATCTGTGCCAGTGTCTCACTCGCCTCCCTGCACTCCATCCACCCTTTCCCCCTCTCTCCCGCGACCTCTCCAGCAAAGTTAGCTGTGTCTGTCACTCTGTTGGTCTGTTTATCTTTACAGTTGTTGTATACAGAGCAAGCACTTAATAAGTCTTCATTAAATTCAATTAGATGCAATACGGAAAAGGAAATAATGAAACTGGAGATGAAAAGTGCACCACCCTCTATTCTAGAAAAATGTTCTTCTTATAAAGTTATCTGAATTCGAAGAGAAAAGCTAACAAAGCGTCACTGGTCACTCACAAGACTCGCGGGTCACTCCACTTTGTCAGGCAGAGCTCTTCCAGCAGCTCCTCTTCATCCAAGATCTCCAAAATGGACTCTTTGAAGATTTTAATATCTGTTTCTAACTCTGACAAGCTGTTAAGAATAATTGTACAGAAATGATCAATAACACAAACCTATAAAAAATTTCCCTACAGGAGTAGTGCCTTTCTAACATCTTATCAAGCAGATTCCCTCATACATTCATGATAAACACTGACTTGTAAAAAATTTTTGGTATTTACTATGCAGTTTGAGAAATCAATTCCCAATACAAGGCTGTTAATATATTAAGTGATAAAATTAAACAATGATATAATTTTCAGCATATGTTATTTATCTCAGAAACATACAATCACTGTGATGTAAACTTTTGGGCCCAGAAATTTACTTTTGTTCTTAATTATGGCAGTGATAATACAAGAAGAGACCATTTACTTTTATTTGATAAGAACATCCTAATATTTTTGGACAAAAAACTGACTCAGGAATTTTAACTATTAACTCTTGAAGGGATTTTAGGGGGTACAAATCCTGAGGGACTGATCATTCAATCTGTAATACAAGTTAGTATATTAAATTCTGGAATGCATTATGATCAACAAACAAAAACCTCATGAACTTTGGAGGGGAAAAAAAATACGATTTGAATATAGACCTGTCATTTAGTAGCCATTAAAGTTTAGACAAATTACTTAGACCTCGATTTTCCTATTTTCAAGATAAGGACCGTGTCATCAGGACTGATGACAGGTTGAGATGGGATCACACATATGAGAGAGACTGATACAGCATTTCACTGAAAACAGCTTTTCAATAAACATTAGTTTGTGTGCCCCTTTTAGCTCAACTTCCCACCTAGGCTACTTTCCTACTTTAAAGTTATGAAAGAGATTTTTAACAATAATGAAAACCAGATATGGCAATGAAGGCATTGAGAGTAAGTTTCAAAGTAAATAACATCATTACCATTTGCAAGACTAGTTGGTATTTTTAAGATAGTTAACAATTACACTAATTTTGGACCCGAATTTACGTTAAACATTTCACTCTTAAGACTACTGAAAGAGAAGTTTAAGACACTTGTGTCTAATTCCCAACTTGGTAAATCACCCATATTTACCTTTTGCCATTTTGTAGCAAGATGTGCAGTTTGCTTCTGTCTACGGAAGAATGTTTGGGATCCACTAAAGCGTCCAGTGTCTCAAGGATCAGCGGTTGCACAATGCTAAGTTTCCCCTGAAGGGTGTTGATCTAGATAACAACATGACCTTTCATAAGAATTAAAACAATCTTTTTAGAATACTCAGGGTCAGTGAATCCTCTGATTAAATATAGAAATCTGAAATAGCTAGAAAGGCTGGTAACATTTCAGAACACGGTTATGTTTGGAATGCCTATCTCAGATGATTAAAAAACTCAATCTCCTAGGTTAAAAGATAATCATGCATAATGTTGTTGCCAGGCTCCCATTTGGGTGACAGAAAATTAACGCCAATAAGAGTCCTCCCCCTACAGACACTTAGTATCAAAGGAATGGAAGACTGATTAAAAGAAAAGCTGCCATTCCGTGTTTAAAATGAACTTCACATCTGGTAAACAATACCTATGTTCTTTGTAAACAGAATAGGAAATAGTTCATAATTCCTATGAACAAAGCACTTTTGGAAAAAAGAAAAAAGCTCTTTTAAAAAACAAAACATACCTTAAACTTTAAAAAGTAAAGTTGAAAAGTCAAATGTATATTTATTATTCATGTTACTATAGGCATAGCAGGATTAACCAACAAGTATGCATTGATACAGATACGAGAATGTGCATGCTAGGTCGCTTCAGTTGTGTTAGACTCTCTGCAACCCTATGGGACCATAGCCCTCTGTCCATGGGATTTTTCAGATAAGAATAGTGGAGTGGGTTGCCCTTCTCCATGATATAGCTATACTAGTTGTTAAAATAAAATACTTCCCATAACTGTTGGCACACTGCATAACAGTAGCTCAAATAAGAAGTGAAATTAATACTGTAAATTCCAACACTCTCTCCACCGCAGCATGAGCTCCTGAGAGCTGACTCTGTGTAGCTTCACCACTGACCATTGTTCATGTACCTTCATTTCTTTCCTTCTATTATTTCCCTGCTTAGTGAGTGGGCTTCAACTAGCCACCATCTCACTGGCTGGTACTAGCTGGTGCTATTGCCTCACTGGCCCCAGTAAGGAATGGAGCCACCTCCTACTGCCTCAATAGAGCAAGGCAGACAAAGAGAAGGGTGCCAGGTACCACCAACCCCCCATGCACCTCATGCCCCCTTTATTCACCCCTCTTCCCTCCTCTTCTCCCACCCTGGTTAGGATGCTCATGACACTGGCTCTTGCTTGTAGCCAGGTCCTGAACAGTACTATCCTGACTGTTGGGGGAAGAATAGATGATGAAAGATTTGTCACAGCCAAGAAAGCAGTGACCATCCTTGTTAAGAGCTCGACAGGATCCCCAGACCCTCAGTGATTATCAATTTAATAGAAGAGCTGTGAGAAGTGTACACGATTCCTATGTCAAAATAGATCTCAAACAGAGGCATCATTTAGCTACCTCAAAGGATTGTACAAACAAATCAAAGAATGATTGGTAAGCACCAGAATGATCTGATAAAATATTTGTATTATATTTATCATGTGTAAGCAGTTACCCAACATACAATTTAGTTAGAGAATAAAATGGAATACAGCTAAAACCTTTTGGTATGTCCATTTATATCACATTTAAGATAAGTATTTTGAATTAGTATCCCTAAACAGGATGTCAGGATAGACAACCTGAGATGTGTTTCACTGAATGTCAGAACATGACTGTTAAAGAGACTCTGTATACTATACCTAGAGACTTTAGATCTATTTGAGTCATAAACTTTAAGAATTAAGTACCTTCTGCATATAAGACCCTGAGAAGTTTCTATTTGGGGGAGGGTGTGGTTACAGAAAGTGCATTAAAACAACACCAGTGATTCCCTGGTGGCTCAATCATAAAGAATCCACCCGCCAATGCAGGAGACATGGGTTGGATCCCAGATCTGGGAAGATCCTACATGCCATGAGGCAACTCAGCCTGCGCACTGCAACTACTGAGCTTGTTCTCTAGAGCCCAGGAGCCACAGCTACTGATACTGAAGCCCCAGCACCCTGGAGCCTGTGCTCAGAAACAAGAGCTGTTGTTTAGTGGCTAAGTCATGTCCAACTGCGATCCCATGGACTGTAGCCCACTAGACTCCTCTGTCCATAGGACTTCCTAGGCAAGAATACTGGAGTGGACAGCCATTTCCTTCTCCAGGGGATCTTCCCGATCCAGGTATTGAACCCCAGTCTCCTGCATTGCAGGCAGATTCTTTACCATCTGAGCCACCAGGGACACCCTGAGCAACAAGAGAAGCCATGGCAATAGAAGGCTGTGCACCGCAACTAGAGAGAAGGCCCCGCCTGCTACGAGAGAAAAGCCCACACAGCAAGAAGACCCAGCACAGCCAAAAAAAGAAAAAAACCGAAGTGTCTTCCTCCTCAATAGCATTGTAAAATCAGAAAACATTCACGAAGCTAGACAAACACAGGCTCACCCGATACTGCAGGAGTGCTTCTATAGCTCTAAACTCAAAAGGTAAAAGGTATGTGACAAGTTGGCCCTCTCCAGCCAACTGTGAAGGGAGCTCCCGGAAAAGCCACTGCTCCAAGTTCAAATTACGGTAATCGAGTATCAGAAGACACTCTGGAGTTATCACAGCTTTCAAATACTGTAAAAAAATATACATATATATATATATATATCTGTAAATAAATATATGTACACAGGCATATATGTAAGTTGTAGAGAAAAATAACATTCATAAAAATATTTAGTATTTAATACTCTATTAATTTTTTAAAACTATTTATTTGGCTGCACCCAGTCTTAGTTGCAGCACGTGGGATCTAGTTCCCTAACCAGGGATCAAAGCCAGGGTCCCTGCATTGGGAGCAAGGAATCTTAGCCACTGGATCACCAGGGAAGTCCCAATACTCTAATTTTGGACTAGCCTAAACCAAATCACCGGAGAAGGCAATGGCACCCCACTCCAGTGCTCGTGCCTGGAAAATCCCATGGACGGAGGAGTCTGGTAGGCTGCAGTCCAGAGAGTCGCTAAGAGTCAGGCACAACTGAGCGACTTCACTTTCACTTTTAACTTTCATGCATTGGAGAAGGAAATGGCAACCCACTCCAGTGTTCTTGCTTGGAGAATCCCAGGGACAGGGTAGCCTGGTGGGCTGCCGTCTATGGGGTCGCAGAGGGTCGGATACGACTGAAGCGACTTAGCAGCAGCAGCAAACCAAATTACTGTTCATTTGGTTTTTCAAAAACAAATCAACAAAAACAAAAAAAACCAAGACTTTTTTTTTTTTTAAGAAAGGAAGCCTAAAATAAACGCAAATCTTAATACCTCTCACTCACTCTCAACAGAACTAGAATTAAACAGATTATGTATTTACTAGGATTTCCAGGGTAATCAAGAGAAATATAGAGAACAAAGGAAACAAGGTCTTTTTAAAACTCCAGCATTCAGTAGGCTTTTAGAAAAGATTTAGTTTAATCATGATTGGTTTGGCTGAAGTGGGAAAGTTTCCTTTTTAAAATATCACCAAAACATACTAAGCTAATTTGAAATCATAAAGATAAAATGTAGCCTTAGTGCTCTAATTTAGAACACAATGAAGTTAAAATTCTGAAGAGTAAGGCTAACATATTCTGTGTTTGGGTCATTTTACATGCAGATGTTTTTCAGTAGTAACCACCACACAAATACACAAATCTGCGGTGGCTGAATCTGAGGATAGGGTACAGCAGGTATGGAGGAACTCTAAGGTATACATGTATTTTTGACTGTGTGGAGGTTCAGTGCCCCCACCCCCATGAGGCTCAAAGGTCAACTGTAAAGTGAACGTTTTTATTCAGAAAAGTTGAAAAATTATACAGTGAATACCTATACACATACCAATTAGATGCTATAATTAATGTTCTTCTGTAATCCATGTAAAATGAGTTCTACACAAAATCACCTGAGAAGACTGTTTCCCATTTTTAAATAAATTCTAGATAAATGACAAAAAACTTGCCAAAGACTTTTTGAAGAAAGCAAGTTTTGAATCCACTGCAGAAATGATGCTGAGACCTGTGACCCCTCATCTGTTTCCAAACCTTAAACATTAGCTCACCAAAATAACTTAAAGCTTTCTGTAAAAATAAAAAAAATTAAGATGATAAACTTTAGGGACTTTCCTCGTGGTCCAGTGGCTAAGATTCTGCACTCCCAATGCAGGGGGCCCCCCAGTTCAATCCCGGGTCAGGGAACTAGATTCCACATGCAGCAACTAACATCCAGCACAGCCAAATAAATAAGTATTTCAAAAACAAAAGATGATAAAATATAAAGGTTACTTTTAGGCTATTTCAAAAACCAGAATATATTCTTAGTAGCTGAAGTTATAATGCAATTATATATATACTGTATACGACTAAAAAAATCTGTTATAAATCAAGAATCTTTCTCTTACTTTAGAAACCAGAGACTAAATTCAAACAGTCAGAAAGGAGAGCGCAGTCAGATCTTTTCATTATTAACAGAGCAGTGCTACACCTGCTCAGTATGGCCGTACAATTCACGTGAAATGAGTTCTGCTTCTAACAACACGTTATATTATAAAATAAATTCACACATCTACTTTTTATTACAAATTACTTTTAAACTACTGATCAAGATAGCAAGGAAGGAATTTTAAGACTGCAGGGGAGAAATGTAGATGAAATAAAATCCTTTACCTCCATTCGAATGATAATCCTATTGTTTCTGGTTGTGATGCTCATTAAATGCTGAAACCTCAAATCTCTGGCTTGAAGACCTAATTCTTGATATAAGTCAGTTTTCTTCCTTTCTAAAAAAGAAATGTGTTCAATAAAAGGAGTGGGTAAACTTATAAACCAAAAAGTTTAGATTTTTATATCAGAGTACCCCTCCCAACACCAGGGAGATAATCTTCTATTACTACCAGAAACAAGAGCTAAAATGAGTCTTTTTGCTTTTTTTTTTTTGTAATTTATGCCACTGCATTTTTTTTAAAAAAAAACTTTTAATTTTGTATTGGGGTATAGCGGATTAACAATGCTGTCACAATTTCAGGGGAAGAGGAAAGGGACTCAGCCATATAGATACACATGTATCCATTCTCCCCCCAAATCCCCTCCCATCCAGGCTGCCACATAACATTGAGCAGAGTTTCATATGCTATATGGTGGGTCCTTGTTGGTTATCCATTTTAAATATAGCAGTGTGTACATGTCCATCCCAAACTCCCTAATTATCCCTTCCCCCAACTCTCCCCATTCCTCCTACAACTGTAAGTTTGTTCTTTAAGTCTGTGAATCTCTATTTTGTAAGTTCATTTGTATCATTTCTTTTTAGAGTCCACATCTAAAGGATATCACACGATAATTCTCCTTTTCTGTCTGAATTACTTCACTCAGTATGACAATCTCTATATCCATCCATGTTGCTGCAAATGCCATTATTTCATTCTTTTTAATGGCTAAGTAATCAAAATGGGTCTTTTAAACACCCATTTCTACCTGAAAAACATACTCAGGCTAAATCTGATCAACTAAGTTTTCTTTTCTCCTCTTAACCATACTTCATAAAATTTCTCTGCACTTGGAAAAACCCCTTGGGACCAGTGTAAAAACCATAGTTATATATCATTAGAACTTACAGTAACAATTCCTAGCTCCAGATGCATGGATTTTTAAATATGAACTGTACAGAACTATATTTTCTATTTTTTCCTTACTACAGTATCCAGTTCAGCATTTTAAATCTATGAACAGATAGGTCCAATTATCTTTGTTCTTAGACTAATACAAAATGAGAAAATAAAATCACTAGATTCTCCTACCTGAAAACTCAATTTATCACCTAAGAAAAAGCAAAACAGATGAAGAAACTCAAGAAATGATGCTGGTAATAGTAGCATCTATTCTTATAGTATCAAGCCACACCTGTGATAGAGCTCTAAGTAGAACAACCTTTTAAGGAGACACTGAGCCAAAAAGTACCCAATATACCCCACTAGGATCTCAGCAATAGCAGGAACAGGACTAAGGCTGGGAAGGACAGGGAGATCTGAAACCTGCACCTGAGGTCAGACAGTAAAGTAATGCTGAGTTTCATTTTAAAAACTAACTGTCCACAAGAGCCAATGTTGGCAGAGTTTCAATAACTACCATCCAGTGCCCCTGTCCCTCCTGTCCTGTCACCCACTGCAACTGCAATGGCAGTGGTATCACTTGATTCTGCCTTCAACACGGCACAGGAGGAGATGAACATGAGGACCAGGGCAGTGAAAGGGAGACTAAGGAAGAGAAACAAGAGGAAAAAGTGTTTCTCTCTTGGCAGCATACCAGCCAACACTCTTTAACATTCTATTAAGAGTGTTAAGTGGCTCCTAACCTCCCCCCCAGCCCCCCAAAATTACAGTACAGGTCAGGTGCTGTCAGTAATTAGGGCTAATGGACAAAAGCTTAAGAAAGATCATTTTCAACACATCCATATATGCACACAATAGTCTACTCAAAATAGTTTACTTCCAGTGGGTTGATTTAAAAGAAAATTACAGATACTCACCAAAAGAAGTCACCTTTCCTTCTTTGTCAAATTTTGTCTGGAGACAGATAACAAAAACATTATTTTCTCCCAAATCAGTACATGATTTGTGGTATCATATTATATGGTATTATGAAAACAACTCTAAAATGATGAAGATATAAACCATATCTGCTGTTCCTAAGTTAAATTCGGTTATGAGTTCAGGATTAAAACAAAAAGTCCCCTTTCCTTTGCCAGGACATCTGACCTTGGATTAACTATCTAACTTGGTTCCCCAGAAGATCTGATAAAGGAGCGTCAGCTGTGTTACTAGGCCACATCGCTTGTGGAAAATGCCCCATCGCTACTCGCTGGGCTGCACTGAGAAGACGGAGAATGGATTATGATAGCTGGCGGGGAGCCGCAGCTCTGCCTTCCCCGAGGACAGTGGCTCTTGTGACTGACTGTGCTCTCTGCAGGAGCCTGGGATGTGCCTCTGGGATGGTGACAAGAGATCCTGGCACTAGAGGGCCTCAGGGGCCTAAGCCAAGGTGGATCTTGCACCCACCTTGGAGAATGTGCTCTCCTCGCACCTGAGCTTCACACAGGGGCCACAGGAGCCCCTGGATGGCTGGGAGGAGAGAAAATACCAAATACTGCCCTTGTGAATTTCCTATCCTTTTGCCTGCTGAATAGACTGGGACCAAATGTGGCTTATCTTGGGAATCTAAGTATTAATATCTGCGGGATGTTACGAGGTCTCTCTGGTGGGTGCTGCAGAATCAATAAATTTACAGAAAAGACCTCTTCTGATAGTGCAGGGAGGACACAGTGCAGAAACTGTACTTATTTCCTATAAAGCAGAGGGAACGTTTTCCCATACTACTTGTCTACAAGTCAAGTCTGAAGATGTCAAAATAATGTTAAATGAATCACTATGTGCTGGACTGCACTAATTACTATTTAAATATGCATTTTCAGAAGACACACTCTAAGATATAGTCGAGGTACAAGTCCCAAATACACATGCTATGTTAATAATACCACAATAAAACTTCATAATATATTTCAGCTTGCTTCTTGTGAACAAAGATAACATCAGTAGGAATATATAAGCACCATAAAACATCAGAGTTAAAGGGAAACCTACATCAAGGGAAGTTTTATTTTGTGTAATATATACTAGCTTTCCTCTTTAAGCTTATTTCAAATACATACATTTGCTGCAGAAAATTTGCAAATAAAACTATTTGGTCACAAATTTTAGAGAAAACCATGCTAACATTTTACTAAATGCCCTTCCAGACTTATTCTTATTAAATACATTCACTCTACAGCACTTGTTTGCAGTCTCTCCTCTGCTTTCAACTTAACAATGTATGGTGAAAATTTCTTCATCTCCGTATTTATCTTTATCATTTTTAATGGGAATTTTTAATTAAAAAATGAGATCAAACTGATTTTTTAAAAAATGTCTACCTTGTAAAGGAACTCACATTATTTCAAATAGCATCAACTGATTTTCTTAAGTGTTCTTGGTAGACAATGATTTCACCTGCAAAGAACCTTCTTTCAATATTTAACATCTGACTTTGTATTGTTTAATTAAACTGGCTAACTCCCAGAACAGTGAATAACAGTGACAACTTTTCCGTGCAATTCTGGGAGTTGTCTTGTCCTGTACAGTTCATAAAGAAAAGCTATGTTAAAAAACCTAAATAATAATGATGATATATAATGGCTAATATATAGACTGAATGCTTACCATGTGTGAGGTATTATTTTTAAGGGTTTTACTTATTTGAATTAATTTAAATCTCACAATTCTACAAGGTAGGTACTATTACTCCTAGATTACAGGTGAGAAAACCAAGGCACAAAGATAATATCCTAACTTGTCCACATCCATCCAGTTAGTAAGAGACAGAGTTCAGATCTGAATTTACAAACTCTGGCTCAGAGCAAGCACTTTCTCTAAATAAGATTTAAAAAATTAAGTCTACAAAAACGTTACAAGAATATTACAACCAATTTCCATGTAACCTTGACCTAGAATCGCCCTTTGTTAATGTGTGCCCCAATGGCTGTATTTTTCTTTCTTTAAATATGTGTGTGTGATACACACTGTTTATGTTGTTTTATTCGATTTTTTTTTCTCGGAATCATTTCAGAGAACGTTGCAGAGATCAGGACCCAACAAAGCGTGCAGTTTGAAGTAATACCCTGTGCTGCCTTCAAAATGCTTCTGCATGTATTATGTTGCATAGCACAGGTTCAAGCCATTTTGTGGCTAACAGCCTTCAGGGACTTCTGAATAGATTTCTGGAGAAATCTTGAGTATTCAATTAGGAAGCTCTGAATTGTGATTTGAGCCACCTGTTCTAGTACCAGGACAAGCTCTGCAGATATTAGCAGAGACTCAAGAGTGCTGTGCAGCAAATCTAGCTGGCACTCAAGTCACTGGCTAAACACAAGACAGTGACTTATACATTATAAAACTAAGTAAGTAGTATCATGGTTGATCAGTCCAGCCCAGTTAACATAATAAGTATGTACTCTCTTTAAGATTTCAAATGGACCACACATACTCACCACAGTAAACACCGGGGATACACTGGCTAAAGTGGCTTGAGACACATCAGAAGTTCTAGTCCGGTAAATTTCACCTGAAGAATGAATTAGAGAATTCCTTGTGAGCATATGATTGGTTTTCACATATAGCTAAGATACAACTCTTCATAGTCTATAAAGGTCTTCAAACTATTTCACTATGTTTTTTTTTCCCAGAGGGAAAATAAGAAACACTTTTAACATTTACAGGGGATTATGTTAGGTTTGGCAAAACGTGGTTTTTAAAAGTAATAGTTCAGGTGAGGCATTAGAATAATTAATGGATCCCAACCACCCCTTTTCCTTTCTAATTATATCTTGGAGTTGGACATCAAGTGTGTAACAGCGTTCTGAGATTAAAGTAAAACGCCTATTCCTTTTCATATAATGTAGAAAGGCTGTTAATAAAGTTACATTGGAAGACATAGTTTAGAAAACATATATTCCAAGAACTACCTGACCTCTCAGCATTTGAAATATCAGGACTGTTTGATTAACCTATAAACTATGAAGCCTACAGATTTTAACTCTATACTTAATTTCTTCCCCACTGATACACTTTGTTTAATTATTTTTAAAAATGGAGTATAACTGCTTCACAATGCTGCGCTGGTTTCTGCTGTAGGTCAATCAGCTATGTGCACATATACACCCCTTCCCTCTTGGGCCTGCCTGCCTCGTCCCACCCCTTTCGGTCACCAGAGCACCAAGCCGAGCTCCCTGTGCCATGCAGCGGCTGCCCACTAACCATCCATTTTACACGCGGGGTGTACATGTCCATGCTGCTCCCTCAATTCGTCCCACCCTCTCCTTACCACCCAGCATTTTCACAAGGCCGTTTTCTACATCCACTGACATACTTTAGACTGAATACTTGTGAAATAATTCACTGCACTGGAATAAAGACCCCGGTGAACTGGAATAAAGGCAAACCTTTACTTGAAAATGTGATTAGACTAAGTTGAAGAAAAGCTCTCAAGCATAACCAAATAAATTTAATAGCTGAGAAAGGACACTGTTCACAATACTAAACACAAGAAGCATGGGCGAAGATTCCTATCCATAGAATATGAAGCTATATTCTCATTTCTGATCTTATTCTTTCCTATACATTCAAGGACATAATTTGTTACTATCTGAGGTTTGCTGGTTACCCTGTACAAACCACCTTATGAGGGTCAGCTGAATAAAAGTTAAAGTGAAAGTGAAGTCGCTCAGTCGTATCGGATTCTTTGCGACCCTGTGGATTGTAGCCTACTAGGCTCCTCCCTGGAGAAGGAAATGGCAACCCACTCCAGTATTCTTGCCTGGAGAATCCCATGGAGGGAGAGAATAAAAGTTACAGCGCTACAAATTAGCATTTGCTAATAAGTCACAAGTTAGATAGTGTTACCTAGAGGTGAGAGAGTCAATTTCTAGGGAGACTGATAAGAAGTCCAGGGTCCCCAAGGAGGAGAGAGGGGTCTGGAGTTCTCAAGGAGGAGGAAAGGACAAAGGTCTTTTTTTCCTCAACATTCCTTAATCTTAGTCACATAAAACATTTTTTTCTTTAAGCCTGGAACTGATGATTACAATACAAAACAACTCAATTTAAACTCTGTACTAAGGATTATGTAACAACAACATATTCTGCTTGAGGACAGTTTCTCCTTCCTGAAAACCTTCTGACTAATACTGTTATCTTAAAACGTGTATTATGGGAGTGGGCCTGGTAAGATCTTTCTATTGTTAAATTCTAATCCTGTTATTCCAACCAGTCCATCCTAAAGGAAATCAGTCCTGAATATTCACTGGAACGACTAATACTGAAGCTGAAACTCCAATACTTTGACCACCTTTGAGGTGAAGAATCGACTCATTCGAGAAGACCCTGATGCTGGGAAAGACTGAAGGCGGGAGAAGGGGATGACAGAGGATGAGATGGCTGGATGGCATCACTGACTCAATGGACATGAGTTTGAGTAAGCTCCGGTAGTTAGTGATGGACAGGAAGACCCAGCGAGCTGCAGTTCATGGGGTCCCAAAGAGTCCGACACGACTGAGCAACTGAACTGAATCCTGTTATCTTAAAATGTAAATTGTGGGAATGGGTCTGGTAAGATCTTTACAACATTGAGACATTCTTTTGATTTATTGTAATAATTAATTAAAACAGAATACAGCCCTTGCTAAGACTAGCAAGTGGGGCACTCTCCACCCCCTTCTGCTGTCTACGTCAGAAGTTTTCTCTGTCCCTTTTTCACTTTAATAAAACCGCCACACAAGAGTCCTGAGTGGTCAAGTCTGGTCTCTGGTCCCAAAGCTAAATCTTCTTCAGAGATCATGAATCTGACATCGTTCACCGTAAGGTATCAGAGAGAGATTCTGAATCTCATTGCTTGTCCTAAAAGGTTAGATCGGCAATGTAACCCAATTTGGAAAGATTCTCCTAATGAGTATGAGGAAGCAGGTGGAGATAGTGAGCTACTTTGGGAACATTCTGAGAGTACAATTGACAAAATTTATTTGAGAAGCCATACATGTTTCGGGTTTTTGAGCAGTATTGGCGCCCACATTGTCACACTTCTTAAAATGTCAAGGTATCATCGTGGTTTATCATTGGGAGGGGGGGGAAACAGACTTCTACCTCCATCCCCTTTTATCTGGTTACACAGTACTTGAAGAAAAGTCAGACCTTTCTCAGAAGCAGTTTCTGAAGTCTTCAGCCTCACTATCCCTTTCCTGAGGAACTGGACAAATGTCTAAATGTGTCCGTTCAAAAGAAAGAGACAGAAAGGAGAAATACTTATAAAAAACATTCAGGTAGATAAGCCTAATTTTGGTTTCGGCACTATCATGATGGATGGGAGCTAAATTCTTAAAAACCTCTCAAGTGCACTCAGCCCTGTTTGCAGCCGGGCCAGTGGAGAGGACAGAGGGCTGGCGGACTCTAGCAGGGACCACGGGGCGGTCCTCAGTCGAGTTCGGAGCTGGTGGGACACAGCTGCGCCCGCAAACCTGGGCAAGAGGGCAGGACCTCGGCGCTCAAGAGCGGACCCGGAGGCCGAGGACTGAGCAGGCCGCGGGGCGGGCAGCCACAGCCACGTGGGCTCGGGCGGTCGGGTCGGGCCCTGGGGTCACCGTAACCCCGGCGTCCCAAAACTGCAGGGCGGGGAGAGCGGTACCTGTCACGGGGAGCCGGCGGGGCCAGCACAGCGGCGCGGCCCGCCTCCTTCCGAGCAATTCGGTGGCGCGGCCGTAGGCGACGACGGGGCGAGTGCCGGGGGTCAGGCCCAAGGCCAGAGCGCACAGGCTGCGCCTGGGCAGCCCCACCACGTGGGGCAGGAGCTGGGCCAGGCTCCGCAGGCATTCCATGGCGCTGGAGCGAGGAGGAGGGAGCTGCGGGACCCCAGCCCTTCATGCCGGACAGTGGCGCGGCGGCCTGCACTTCGCGACCCCGCGCCGACGCCCGAGCTGCGACCGAGGCATACTGAGCATGCGCCGGCGCGCCGCGCCTGCGTCTAATTTCCCGCGCATGCTCCGAAGGGGCCTCTGCGTGCGCGACCCGTGACGCTAGGCCAATCAGAGCTTTGCCTTCTGCACCTGTGTGTACTCGTATAGCGTGTAAGGACCGGCTCCGGGGTGGGTGGGGCGCGTATACCTGCGTGAGTGGAACTGCCTAACCTAGGTTCGACACTTGGGCCTTTGCAGTGGTCTGGTCCGCGCGTACAGTGTTGATTACTTCTATTAACTAGTAATCTCTAAATGTGAAAAAATACGCAGGATATATATAATGTTTTTCAGTTTCTGGAGCATTTTCATACAGATGCAATCTACAATTTGGAGGTGAGAAGTTATTACCCATTCCCAACTCATGTTATAATTAAGTTTAATGCAGCAAAAGTAAACTTTCATATGGAATGATATATTAAACTTTTGCTAGTGAAGACAGAGGAACATAAACGCGGATGATTTATATTCTGTATTTAATCAAATGTAAGCTAATGTCAATTTCAAGGTGCCATTATTTTTTTTAATTTATTTTTATTAGTTGGAGGCTAATTACTTCACAACATTGCAGTGCGTTTTGTCATACATTGACATGAATCAGCTATGGAGTTACATGTATTCCCCATCCCGATCCCCCCTCCCACCTCCCTCTCCACCCGATTCCTCTGGGTCTTCCTAGTGCACCAGGCCCGAGCACTTGTCTCATGCATCCCACCTGGGCTGGTGACCTGTTTCACTATAGATAATATACATGCTGTTCTCTCGAAACATCCTACCCTCACCTTCTCCCACAGAGTCCACAAGTCTGTTGTATACATCTGTGTCTCTTTTTCTGTTTTGCATATAGGGTTATCATTACCATCTTTCTAAATTCCATATATATGTGTTAGTATGCATTATTTTATATACCACCAAGAAGGAAAAGTCGCTGAAAAACTTTGCTAATTGTATCATTTAAGAGTAACCTCAATTTCAGCCTTGAAAATATGAGAAAAGTGAGGCTTAGAATTGATTAAATACAACATATATGCATATTTTTAAAGTGTGAGTTAATAGACTTGCCTTTCCAAATAGAAGTGCACGGTAGACACAAGTTTCACAGATTTCCATTCAATCACTGTGTATGAACACAGAGCTAAAGAAACATAAGGGAAAATCTTTTTTTTCCCCCCCTTCCTGTAGGGTACTGAGACTGAAGGTGATTAGGAGGCCAGTAGAGAGAGGCTTGGAGAAGGCAATGGCACCCCACTCCAGTACTCTTGCCTGGAAAATCACATGGATGGAGGAGCCTGGTAGGCTGCGGTCCATGGGGTCCTGAAGAGTCAGACACGACTGAGCGACTTCACTTTCACTTTTCACTTTCGTGCATTGGAGAAGGAAATGGCAACCCACTCCAGTGTTCTTGCCTGGAGAGTCCCAGGGATGGGGGAGCCTGGTGGGCTGCGGTCTGTGGAGTCGCACAGAGTCGGACACGACTGAAGCGACTTAGCAGCAGCAGCAGCAGTAGACAGAGGCTTCACATAACAGGGGATGTTCGACTTGAGCATTGAGGGCAAAGGAGGACTTCAAGCCCTGCTTCCTTGGCCGTGGGGTGGAGTGGGGTTTAGAAACTCTGGAAAAGAGCCCTGGGTATATAGTACATGGCTGGTAGATTTTTCATTTAACTAAGGGTGACAATGATGAAATACATCTTTCAAAAACAGTGCATACCATCAGAGATATTTCTTGGAAACGGTATGTGATAACTCTTAAAACTTAAGTCACCAGCATGATGAGACAGCTCTGTTTAAGGTGACCTTTACAAAGCCTTAGAAAAACTCTGGGATGTGGCCAGACACATGGCCTTATAATTCATGTCAAGGACTTGGAATTTAATCTGAGAAGGGTGGGAGCTATGGGAAGCGGGGTACTTTGAGCAAAGATGTAAATCTGATTTACATTTCAATGGGTTGTTTTGGCTGTGTGGGATTATAGAAAGGTTAAGTGTGGAAGCAGAGAGATGGTGATGGTTTGGGTTAAGGTGGGGGTGATGGAGAAGGGGAGATTGGTTGGGTTTGGTGCAATAAACTGAAGGCTTAGTTGACAAGATTTGTAGATGGGTTGTAAATAAAGAGGCACAGAAGTCAACTTCAAATTTTTTTGGCTCAAACAAATGGGCCATCATGATGCCATTTACCGAGATAGGGAATTTTGGTGAGGGGCAAATTTAGATGCAAAGCAGACTGTGGCTTGGCATTTGTTTCTGGACATGTTAAATTTGAGAGCTTTACCAGATAGATATCTGAGCATAGACAGCAAGTAAGTGGTTGGAGTTTGGGGGAGATTTTGAAGCTAGATATACACATTTGGGACTGAGAAATATTTAAAGCCGCGTGTCTCCTCTTAGGAGAAAAGTTTTCTCTCAAAGAGAAAAGTTCCTGTGATTCAGTTCTAGGTCTTCTAACATTAAATGGTTAAGAAGAGAAGATGAATCCAGCAAAAGAATATGAGAGGGCATGGCCAGGAAGGAGGAATAAAATTAGAGAGGGTGGGATCCATGAAATCAAGTGAAGAAAGTATTTAAAAAATGAAGTGCTCAGTTACATCAAATGCTACTGCTAGGTGAGAAATGAGAATTGCCTGTATAGGATATGATGCTGTGGGGCTCACTGGTCACCTTCATAAGAGCAGTTTTTGTAGGGTGGTAGGTCTCCCAGGTGGCTCAGTGGTAAAGAACCTGCCTGCCAATACAGGAGACACAGGAGATGTGGGTTCGATTCCTGGGTCCGGAAGATCCCCCGGAGAAGGAAATGGCAACCCACTCAAGTATTCTTGCCTGAAAAATCCCATGGACAGAGGAACCCGGTGGGTTACAGTTACGACTGAACACACACACACACACACACAAAGAAAGTGATAATCATCTTTCTTTCATCCTAATCTATGAAAGGATCCAAGAAGATTTCTGCATCTATATAACAATTTGGCTTTAAGATCCCTTAATCTCTTTACTTACCCTTTTTTTTTTTTTTAAAGATTTATTTCTCTTGGCTGCGCTGGATTTTCTTTGCTGCTAGCTTTTGCAGTTGCAGAGAATGGGGGCTGCTCTTCATTTCGGTGTGAGGGCTTCTCATTGTGGTGGCTCCTCTCGTTGCGGAGCACAGGCTCCAGGCACCTGGGCTTCGGTGATTGGGGCACGTCCGCTCAGTGGTTATAATGTACGAACGTAGCTGCTCCCTGGCATGTGAAATGTTCCCAGACCGGGGATCGAACCCAGGTCTCCTGCATTGGAAGGAGAATTCTTAACCGCTGAGCCGCCAGGGAAGCCCCTTTCCTTATCTCTTGAACTTCAGAGCAGATCGGCGACCTAATCTCAGGCTCACACTGGGTTCTCACCCAGAACTGTTTCACCTCAGAAATGTTATCCCAGTTATGCACATCATAGCCTCCTGGAGACTCTACACCCCCAATGATTATATTCTCCCAGCAGACCTACCTTGCCTTTTCCCCTTCTCTGCCCAACCCAGTTTATGTAACTGATCACTGAAACCACTGTGGCTTGTACTTGGAGCACGTTGCCCTTGTGGGATGTAATCACAGAAGACACTTTATATTTGTCTCTTTAATTCTGCTGATTGGGGCTGGTCTTTCTCCTGCCTCTTGAAAACTTAAGCAGGTTCCACAACTTCTCCGGTCTCTCAGTCCTTATGTTCATTCTAATCTCAATTCAGCTATTTAAAACATCCACTCCCTATCGTGTTTAGTGAAATAGGTCAGACAGAGAAAGACAAATACAATGTATTTCCACTGACTTGTAGAATCTAAAAAAATAAATGAATATAACAAGACAGAAGCAGACTCACAGATACAAAGAACAAAGTAGCTGTTACTAATGGGGAGAGGGGAGCAGGAAGGGGCAGGTCAAGCAGAGGGGATTAGGGGTACAAACACCTATGTATAAAATAGATGAACTACCAGGAAACAGCACTGGGAATATAACAAATATTTTATAATATCTATAAATGGAGTATGATCTATAAAAATTTTGCATCACTATGCTCTGCACCTGAAACTAATATATTGTAAATCAACCATATCTCAATAAATATAAAACATCCACTCTGTATACAAACTACAGTAATTTACAATGTCAGAGCCAGTATACTAATCGCTGCTTCACTCTTCAAAGGAAAGACTTGATTCTACACTCCTTGTCAGGCCTGGGGACAAATAGGAAATTGAGGTATAGGTAGAGATTCTGGGAAGCTCCCCCTAACCCTTTCCCACTGCCTTTCTTACTCCATGGCTGCTGTTTTTGACTCTGCCGGGCAGTGAAGCAAAGTAAGAATGAACCAAAAGTGTTTATTGAATAATGGCTCCATGCTCTCTCTAGGCAGGGCAGATTTTAAGCTGATTTCCTTGTGGGCACATTCACGCAATCTCCAGAGGACCACCTCCTGCTGTCTTCCCTCCCTCCCCACCCTCCTCCCCACCACCACCCAGACACATCTGATTGGCATTCCTTTGATGTGGGCAGTGACCCTCCTGATCACTTTCAGTTTCTGCCCCTTCTTGCCTCAAGCAGGTTCCCCTCTTCCGGCCATGCTGCTCTTGGGGGGCAGGATGCTTTTAAAAACAAACCCAGATTGACCTTCCTGTTGTCAGGTCTGCATGCAGGATCCCACGCACCTTTAGAGGGAATGCAGTTACTTCTCTGCAGAGCTGGTCTCCCGTGCCCAGGTGTGAGTCTAGGACCTCTTCAGGCTGTTGGAGTGCTCTAAAGAGGTTCCTCTCGCTAGATTTGGAGGGAGAGGACAACACCCTCCCTACCTCTCTCCGGATGGTCATGGTAGAGGCGGGATTTCCCAAGCACAGCTTTTTCCAAA